CTCTGCCCGGCACGCTGCCGCACGCCTTGCTGCAGGCAGCCCTCCGCACGGACCCTCAGCCGGATCAGAACCCCTCCTCTCACCTTTCAGTGTGGAGCTTTTTTAAAAAAAACCTTATTCTAGCTTTTTCTAAAAGATCCTCCCTCCGCCCCCACGACGGTGCCAAGCGTTACCGTACTCTCTCCAGCTTGAAAACGTTCACCAGTTTCTGGTGTCTTATTTAAGCACACTGTGGACAGATTCTGATCTCCCTGAACTGATGTAAATCCCAAATTACTCCAAGTTCTTGATTTACTTCAGGTTTACACACTTCTCGGAGGCCGCAGTCTAGTCCAGTGCAGATTTCTTCCTGCTTGAAATCCATTCCAGACTGCTGAAGAGAACAGTAACAGCACGCGGAGGGAGAGGAGGGTCTGGTTTTTCCTACTTTACAGGACAGGTTTTAGAGTACTGAATACAAATTATGTAGTAATATTATTGTAGAACTGCAAGAAATTTAAGATGACCTTTATAATGTACAAAATATTTTTATATTTTTTTCTTAACGCAAAAACACCCTAATTTTTTACATTGGACTAAACATAACTTTTTAAACAAGTTTATGCCTCAAAGATTGAAAATGTAAAAAAAACCAAAAAAAAACAAAAAAAAAACACCACAAAACCAAACCTGCTTAGTCTGTAGAGTAGCTCTGGGTTTATTCTCTTTATTTAGGTACTTTTGCTTACGGTAGCGTAGATTTTTTTAATTGCAGTTTTAGTTTAGAAGGTCTAAGCCTATTGCTTTATTCCTCTCCTGTGTAAATGCAACTTCAGAAGCACTGAACGAAAGCTCCGTGCGCAAACCGAAGCCGTTTGAAAAGAGTCATTTTAAGGTCTGAAAGAATCATTTTAACCCTGAGAGAAGCAGCATTACCTGAACCAACTGCCAGCTGTCCTTAGGGATGTACTTACTGCACTCAGAGGGTTAATTACAGAGCACTCGATCAACACGCAACCTGCTCGTTTTTAAATTATTTCAGCAAGCTTAGACAACAGCACGCTCCAGTGCTGACCAGAGGAACTCGGCAGACTCTTCCCAGATCTGACAGAAGTCTATTTTTATCACTTGATTAAAAAAAAAAAAAAAC